GAGTATGCAGTGTTTGTGTATGTATTCGGCCGATGCCGACGACCGTGCACGTGCAGTAACCAAAACCAGTCTCGAGTAAACAGGCGCTGCCGAGCTGAACCGGGTGGGCGCTTGGCGTGCTGCATGACTACCAGGCCAGGGGGTAGCGGTGCGGACACGCACACGCCCCAGCAATGACTCGCCGGCCGGAAGATTTCTAGTCCTCGTTACACTCACTGCCCACGGTGATCACTGCCTCAGAGAAAAACGCTGCTGCATGATCCTACGTCTCCTCCTCTACCCCTCCTAACTTGCTGGCCAGTCGATTGACGCGCGTTCTAGTAATTCTGTAGGGCAGAGTGACGCACTGATCAAACGTTTTCTGGGATTCCGTGCATTATTCGTCCCGTACTTTGCAACAACAGATGTTATGTACTCTTTGAGAGCATCACCTCGAATACTCTCCATTAGCACAATCGCTTTAGCTGGTGATATCCCCTGTATTGGCAGCTTTTAAGCATTTTTTAATTACGAACCGGATACTGCATCACAGAAGGAACGACTCCTCTACGAAAACATACCTGTCTGTACTTTGTTCTTTCATGTTGTATGCAGGACCCCCGGTCGGCGTCTACCATATTAAGGCTCCCTCACGAGAAACTCACTAGCGAGAGAAAATGGTTTATGCTCATCGAGCTTGCTTAACAGGGCCAGTTTCCTTTTTTTAGTCTCCCTCATCTCCTAGGGTGTCTGATCCTTGCAGAGAATGGACCCATTCCTTATAGAGAGTGTAACTTTCCTTATGCACCAAGCTAAACGCCGTTAGGCCCAGATAAGCCGTTGTTCTTGGCAATACAACGGTCTCCAGACAATGCAGTAACATTGACCCGGCAGAAGTCTGCTACAACGAATAATGTTCGATCATTTTTATTAAGCCCATTTCAGGTGACAAAGCAGCTGCTGCAGAAAGCCTTTCCAACAATCCCGGGACACCCTTCCAAACCGCCATGCTCATTTCTCTGGATTCCAAGGGCTGTTAAGATGTTTAGAAAGTCATAAGTGAATGACACCAGATGTAGTTTACCGTACAGTGACCGTAGCCCTCTTCGCGGAGGCAGGAGTTTAGAATGCTCTCTGGCGTATCATCTTTGTCTAAACAGGGAGATAATCATTTGCCCTCACCGTAAAGTACCTTAACAATCCACCACCCATTTTAGGAAGCTCGATAGGCAGACGATATTTTACCCTACCAGGAGCAAAAAATCGATGATTTCTAGCATTATACTTATGGGAAAACACAGACGATGATTAGCCGATATTAAAGCAAACAAGTCTTATTGTGACAATTCGGTCGTGCGTGATCACAAATTATATATACCGTATTTTTCGGACCATAAGGCGCACTTAAAATCCTTATATTTGCAAAAAAAATCGCCAATGCGCCTTATAGTCCGGTGCGCCTTATATATGAATTTTGGCCTGAATCCTTCATACAAAAGATGCTCCTTCTGCTTCTATATGTCGTTCTCTCCATTGTTATTTTGCAAAATTTATAAAATTGTTTGATTTCGTAGCAAGACTCCTTTGTAATTAGGTCTTATTTACATTTCATTGGAGCGAGTCTATGGTAGAACTCAGCTTGTCACGTCGGCCGGCTCTTTTCGATCGCAAACAATCACAAGACGGGTATCGTAATCTTTGTACTGCGCCGTTTTGTCAGGGTACGTTGAATGGCGGAGTTTTGTCCTGGGCCGTTTTGTTACGGTGCCTGTCTAGGCAATTGCCGACTGAAGTTTTGAATTTGATCTTATTCAAGCGCGAGGTTTTCTGATGACCATAAATCAATCACGGGACAGTGGCTATCCGGTGACCAAGACGAAATCTTTCCATTTGCTCCGTCAATTTTCGTGATACGCATTGCGCTTCAACAACATCACCGTATAAGGAACCCAAAATGGTACCTGTTATGAGACATGCTTACGAAGCGGATTTTGAACTCAAGGCCATCAACCACGCATTACAACACGGGAATAGAGCAGCCGCGAAAAAATTCAATATTAATGAATCAATGGTACGGAAGTGGAGGAAGAAAGAAGGTGACCTGCTCCAAGTAAAGAAGACCAAACAGAGTTTCCGAGTGAACAAAGCAAGATGGCCACAGTTAGAGGACAAAATTGAGCAGTGGGTTATTGAACAGTGGACAGCAGGAAAAGGCGTCTCTACAGTCTCCATTCGACTCAAGGCAAATATGCTCGCACACGATATGAAGATCAATGACTTTC